ATAGTAAAAAAAATAATAATAAATAAAATATATAATATATAATCTACTTACTATGAAACTGGACATGACATATTTAAAGCTTCTCTTTTTAAAACCAACTTTATTCTCATGACTGAAAAAGCATTAAAAATAAGAACAGACAGTAGAAACAAAAGCAACGACGGCGTGCTAACCACAAGTACAGGGATGATTCGGGCAGGAGTCTTTAGCACACATTTTTCAGGATTTGTTTCGCAGTATTTCATGTTTTCCACAAACATGTCATGATGTCCAGCTTGTGTCTTCAGAGTGAAACATTTTGCATCCAGAGAGGAGATTCTACACGCTGAGCTGGAAGCATTTGCAAAGAGCAGCTTTCTGTCCAAGTGCTTATTGTGTTCTTCTGTGTCCGTGTTTATTTAGATGCAGAGGTTATGAGCCTGAGAGGATTCTGACATCAGCAAAAGGGCGAAACAACAAACATTACATCTCCGAATTCCTCGCGGCGTCTCTGCTTTTTCTGCCCTGTCTCTGTCCCTACGTGGATGCTCTCATCGCGCCTTCTTGGAAACGAAAGTTGCGCCACTGCCTCTGAGGCAGCATCAGGTGTATGAATTAGCATCAGGCCGACAAAGAATAGTAGGAGGGGACTTGGACACGCACAGCAGTCCTGCCTCATGAGGTGGAATAATCTCCACAGGATTCATCTGAGTCATTCTGCAGAGTTGTAGGATGCATGTTCAGACTTGTGACATAGAACTGGAAGAGATTACAAAATACAACCGAAAATTACAGCATCTGCCGAATAACCCAAATAAAACCACGCGTGCTTCTACCAGGAACAGACACCAGCAGCAATAAAGTGTGTGAAGGAAATATTCACGTGTGGAAAACGTTTAGTGCCGCTTCGATAGCCTGACTCACCAGCGAAGCGGAGAGTCTGAAGATCCCCGCATCTCCTTCTATCTGCTTCACACACGCGGGCTGGGGCGGTGATAAGGTGAAGAGGAGGGTTTGACTGCTTGAGAAATTCATGCAAACGCATTTTCCTGCGCGTGCACGTGGTGGATTATGATAGATGGAGTTCTGGGTGATGGTGCTGGTTACGTGTTAGCTCACAGCTGTGCGTTAAGTTGACGGTGACACTTTTAGCTTTGATAGCAGATGTTTAACATGAAGGTGTCTGGTGTTCAGGACCTTTAAAGCTCTGTTCTTCGTCACATCCAGCAGCATCTTTTATACAAGGACATGAGAACTGGGGCTCAAATACAAGCGAGCGCTTCTTGTGATTTTCCTTGATAAAGGATTAGCAGTGGGATGGGTTTGTGCACCATATCAACGCTGGATTTCCCGGGTTTAGCATATTATACCCTCCCAGCACCTTTCTGAAAATTGCCCACCAGGAATGGAGGCAGTGAACTCCGCCTTCTCAGTATTTAAACCCACAATCTCACCCGGAGCTCAGAGAACCGGAGAACTTGATCTTGACCAACACGTTTGGATTCGTGGGAACTAAATCTGAGCTCTAATTGCCTAAAAGGTGAGACTAGTCTTTGCTTCTTTTAAGTAAAATAAAAACAAATATAAAACAGCAGGCAGGACTTCACGGTGACTTTATGGATTTTGCCGTTTTGGGACATTTTTCCAGCATAGTGTAAAGTGTGCATCAGGTTGACTGGTGCTATGAGTAGACGTTCGCACTGTCGTGCTTTTTAAAATATATGTTGCTTTTATTAGCAGCAGATTGACCCATTATTTACTTTCCCCCTCAAGGTTCCAGCTGCAGTCTCCAATCCGCCCATCTTGGACACATTATCACACTTTTTATTTATTTATTTATTTTGCCTCCCACTCCTGGGATTTAACCTTCACCCAGTCCGTCACTTCGCCCCCTCCTACCCAGAAAGAGGGTGTAAAGTTGGAGTCGGCCCGGAGATGCGGTTCTTTTTCCCGCTGACTGTGTATTGCATCAGCCTGCTTTCCCTCCAGCAGGCTTTGCCGGCTGAGGAGAGACCGGCCACGAACAGGTAGGACACACCGCTGCGCTGCTGCTGTATTAGTGCTACTTTAGTGCCTACAGAGCAACTCTGCTGTCTGAGAGGAGCGAAGAAGGCAGCTGGAGCCGCTGAAATCTTGCTGTTCATAGCTGCACTGCATCGGGCAGAAACAGCGTCGTCAACGCGTTTCAATGGACTGTAACGTCGTCACTTTCCCGTCGTCGTTTAGTTCAAACACTTCTCACTGTTTTTATTCTAACAGAGATAAATACGTTCACAATAAAGACACGCTGATATTTACTCTTTGTGAGTCTGACGCACACTGCGAAACTTGAATCACGAGGGTTGGTGTGTGTAAACGCGTGTCAGCCTGACAGTAGATAGTGGGCACTTGAAGGTCAAAGGCTGTGGCTTTATCTGTGCTGCTCCACATCCACGCGGAGTGTATCTCGGTCAAAGCCCACAGAAATCCACAGAGCTGCGTGAGTTCAGTGTTTTCAGAAGGCGAAATGATCTTTGCAGTTATGAAGGACATGATGAGAAATCACACCTGAGCTGTAGGTGACCTTTGACCTACATTTAACCCTGCCACTGAAACATGACTAAAGTGAGTTAACTGCGCCTCAGCTTGTTTTCTATAAACAATTCACATGTTTCTAAAGCCCCAAACGTCGCAGCTCTTCTTGCCTTACGTCTCGGTGTCACATGATGAACCACTGACATATGGGCTTTTGTTTGCTTTGGTCTCCCTGACATCAAGCAGGGAAAATGTTATTTCCAAAGGTGGGAAAACCAGTTTGTCATTCTGAATAGCCCAGTCGTAGACACCATCACGGGTCATTGTAAAGGATATTGTGAGGGGATGAATGGCACCTGTACTTTTCCACTCTTTTGGTGTCAGAGCAGGATCTCATTAGACACGAGGCAGCAAACAGACGTCCACCCGGTCAGAGGCAGGGAGCTCGTCACAGTGGCAGTAAGTGTTGCATAGTTGAGGATGAGGTACAGTGAAGGGCGACCTCTTCTGGTCGGGTGTGGAGCCGTAACTCTGTGCCAGCGCTGATTCTGCAGTTTTAAAGCGAGCGCCGTGGAAGAAGCTGCTGTTTCCCATGATGTGAAAACGCACTTGAATCTAACCCAGTGTAAGAGGATCCAAGGGTGGAACTTTCCTCCAGGTGGGAAAGCGCTCCTGTGGCCGTCTCTGTCATCTGGACAAACGGCTGCTGCTGAAACCCAGAGAAGGGGGGGCAGCTCTGTTTGCACCTGGCCGGCTCCCCCATCAGTCCTCTGCTCCATTACAAATGTTCAAGGCTGCAGTTCCAGCTCCGTGTAGTTAATTAAACCTTGTTTTATTGCCTTAAAAAAGCTGATAACAAAACAAGAACAGTCACATTTCCTCATGACTTCTGTCTTCTAGACTATCTCAGATAAATGGACTCCCGAGTGTCTGCAGCTGAGCACTGCAGGTACTGTGGAGGAGGTCTGAGCTGTTGTTGACCACTTACAGAGACGTGCAGGTGAAAGGAAAGAGTCTGGGCTCGATCGTGCTGTAGACCCTCCTAACGCATCCTGTTCGGTTCCTGTCACCAGCTGACAGCATGATAACAGCAGACACCACCACTTCACATGTTTTTGTCTGTTGGACTCTTGAGCTCAGATGTCTGTCATTCCTTCCACGTCCTGTGTTTGTGTCCATATTGTCTCCCTGTGTCCTGATATGGACACAGAGAGATGTAACAATGCCAAGCAGGCGCTTTCCAAACGAGGAGAAATTGTTTGTTAAGCATAAGATGGCAACACATACCCCTCATTATCATTTTACATAACATCTTTTTTGTAGTTGAAAATAGTCTGCAGCCAGACAAGTTAAACATGGCTTTAGGAGTGAAGCGGCTTTAGGTCCAGATTCTGGAAGTGGGAAGCGGCTCATTGCTTGCAGACTGAAGACTCTGAAGCTGGTTTGCGGTCAGGCTTTTGTTCGATGGCCCCGGCTTTGTCTGGATCAGCCTGTGTGCATAAGTTGGGCTGCAAGTTTGTCTGAACATTTCAGGGCCGAATAGTCGCGTTTTCACCGAGCACCAACATGACTATCAGAGAAAAACACCTCACAGAGCCTTTCTGCTGTTTCTTGGTTTGGGGTCCAGACATTAGATGTTTCGATTCTGAGCATCTCTTTAAACCACCTTTATTCCTCTGGGATGATTTCAAATTTAGCGCCTCAACCCAGGCTTCTTCTCATACGTCTACTTTGATTTGCAGCCTGTTGTAAACACTGAACTTGCTCAGGGCTGGTGTGGAGTATGTGTAGAGTACAAGCACATCAAGGTAAATCTGCACAAGCACAGGCTGAAGTTGAGAAGGCTGCCGGCAGGAATTCCGCTGTGGATTAATGTCTAAGACCTAAATTCCAACGTTCGCATCCTTAAAGAGCAGGTTTCTGCTCACACAGAGAGCCGCTGCACATGAATGCACTGTACGTCATGTAAGAGTAGAAGACATGCATGTAAGAGGATCAGTGTGGTTTAAGTTCCTCAAACGGCATTTGGAAAATTAAAGCAGCTTCTGAGGGGAAGAGAAACCACCCTTTTGTCTTGTCTACATCCATCAGAATTATGTGGTTTGTGAACTATAACTTGGCATCTGTCAGTTCATGTAATTCACCAGCTGGAGTTTATTCAGAGGCCAAAAAGGCTTGAACAATAGAAATTACAGCCCAGGGTTAGAAAGCTGGAAGTGCCCAGCTCGTTTCATTGAGACAGAGATTTCTGTCAGCTTTCGCTCCTCATCCTCGGATGGCTGATTCCCTTTGAAACATCTGTAAACGTGTACGTTTGAAACGTAGTGGGTTTAAATCTGAAGTGTTGGGATTACTGCGGGCCAATCTTAGGAAGGCTCAGGGTTGGGTTTATGTTTCGTTTCCCCTCCATGAGACCTGTGGCTGGAATTTAAGATTAGACTATGACTTGAGGCCAAATCTGCTCAGAGATTCAGCCCAGATTTGACTTCCTAAAACAACTAATACAGCTCGTTGTCATTAATAAGGAAGAAAAGGAAACATCTACAGGTACTGGCTTCACCTTTAACCCCTTAGCAGTCGGACGTACCGCCCACGGGACATTGGATGGTTTAGGGGACTAATTGGACTGCTAAGGGGTTAATCTAACTGTTAGGTCCTATGAAATCATCAGCCAAATGTGTCTGAAAGCCATAAACTTGGGATATTGCAACGCATCAGAAACCAGAAGCCCAGACGTCTTTGATTTCCTGCCAAACACAAAGGTCTCCTTCACTGTATGACTGGTTAGACTGCAGGGAGGTCAGGCATTGTTCCAGCTGCAGGTGATGTTGGCCCAACCAAAACGCAGAGCTTGTTCCCCGGCACATATTTATTTTTCAAGACCATTAACTAAGTGCACCAGGTGCTCCGATGGTTTGCTCGGGAATCGGAGGCACTGCTGTCATTGATCACAAGGCTTTTCCTACGCTGTGGTGCGTTGCTCCATAATCCCCTTTACCTCATTAATGCGCACAATAAACAGAGCTGGATTACTGACCAGGAAAAGCAAGGGGGGTTGCCATGGGGTACCAGATGCTTTTCTTAGATGTGAGGCAGTTAGCATGTTGGATTGTTATTATTGCCTACATCACTGCAGCACCTTAACATTGCACATGGCAGCTGCATGAGTGTATTTTTCAGCCCCAGTCAGAAAAGATTGATGTTCTTATGCTAAACTTTTGACCTCCTGGATCCAGGATACAAACAGAAAGAGTCATCAGCACCACAGATTACAGCTGCTATAGACTCGCATCAGTCACATCCATTATCACTGCTGTGAAAACCAGCCTGAAACAATGAAAATGCTGTGGGTTACAGTAAGTATCCGTATGGAAATGTACAAACTATACATCCTGTCATTGGGTTGTGTAAATGCGTTTATGAGATCTGTTGTGGAGCCACCGCTGCAGCTATGCAAATAAGCTTTAAGCTTTCACCGTGCAGACCATGTGGGTGTAACTTGATGATGTGGCACTGTGGCAGACTGCGGCCTGTCCTGGAAATAGTGCTTTCCTCCGTCTGCGGCCTACCATTATGCAACTATTTATTCAGCCATCGCCACTGTTGGATAGCAGGTCCTCTAAAGGCGACCGGCTCTGCCAACAGTGAGCCAGCAGCTGCACTTAGCGTCTCTGGGAGGAGTCTCAAACCAACCACAGGCTGTGAAGTCTTGGAGAACTCAGCAGGGAGTGTTCATGAGAAGATAACACGAGTTAGCGTTTCACATGTGGAAGACACGTTTTATAATTAAAATGGTGAAACATTTTTCCATCTGTGCTTCGAAAGGCGAACACGAAAGATGGATTCATTCTAATCCTAAATGTAAACCTCTGGCAAAGATTCCACCTTTTTTAGTTCATCCAGGCACAACATGATGTTAAGCCCAGCAAAATATTTATCCTAGCAACTTTGGGAATTGTGGCTTTAACAGATGTAGCTGACACTGTGACGCCAGATATTCTTCACCAAACAGCGATCTTATCCCAAACCTTACTGGTGCCAAAGCAAAACCAAGCAGTGAGAAACACCAGTATTTCACAACAGGCTGTAAAACCAAAAATCACTTTGATAGTCACACAGAGGGGCAGTCCAGCAGGTAACGGGTACAGAAATACGAAGGCACCTACATCCTTTATTTGTACAAGCACCGCGTCGTGTGTGGACCAACATAGCTATTCCACAGTCTGAAATGTGACCGAGCAGTCATTGTTTCTTTTTACTTCTCTCGGGATTTTGAGTCACACCGTGCTACGCAAACATGGCGCTAACAGGTCAGCGAAGGAGCCACTGTTTTTGTCAAACAAAGAACAGATGGCGAGTCGGCCACTGCTGTTTGCTGAAAATGTCTGAGCCAGTGGTCCGCCACACTGCACACCTTAACACATCATTTAGTGTCATGTGTATTCTCACGAGCCTGTTTGTACAGATGGACCAATCACACAAGAGGTGCTGTCCATCTTGCCAATAGTTTGTGAGAAAGTGTGTGATTTTTTACATTTTACATGTTGGATGGGGTGATCCTTTACAACTTTCATGTTTGTAGCCTAACTTGTCCTGTGAAGGATATAGATGCTGAAGGATGCTCTGTGCGGTGTTCAGAAGCTAGCATAAAATATTTATTTACCAAATTGCACCTATAATTAGATGTCCGCAGAATTAGCATTGCCCTCGATCGTGCTAACAGTCGTGGCAGTGATTGGCACAGTTGATATTTTTGGAATTATCTGGACAAACAGAAACTCCTGACGGCTTAGCTAGTTCTAGTTAGCACAAATTAGCATGCTAGCTGCAAAACTGTCTCGTGAACTCGTCACAATTCTACCTGCTGAGAATGTAACACATGAACTTCTAGCTTACACTTTTAGTTATGTGTAGCTGCTAGTATTGCTCTATGTTCTCATGCTATCTTGAGTTGTTTCACGTTTCTGGTGCACTTTCAGTATGAATCCCTCTCACTCCTGTAGAACAGCTTTTCACCTGACATCTCTTTTCTCCTCAGGTTGGATGTTCTCAACAAACTCATTGGCCAGAAAGAGGATAACGCTCCCGCTGCAGAAAGCCAGACTATCAGCACGGTCCCATCTTCAGCCTTGAGCCGATCCCCAAACCGGCTGCCTGGATTCATGAAGCAGCGACTGGCATCAGGAGCAAGGACAGCCTCCCCGGCCTTGGCGTGGGCGCGGTCCACCGAGGCTTTGCAGGTTGAGCGACGGGCACCGAGAGCTCGTCGCCATGCCCACTCACGAGGGGGTCACCACAACCATCACCATGCCAAACTGATGCGGGTGGGTTGCGTCCTGGGGACCTGTCAAGTGCAGAACCTCAGCCACAGGCTCTATCAGCTTATTGGCCAGACTGGCAGAGAAGACTCTTCTCCCATTAATCCCAGGAGCCCCCACAGCTTTGGATGACTTCGATAAAACCTCCAAATAGCCACAGCAAGTCTATCTATTGCTCCATTTATTTATTGTTTCTTAATATATTATTATTATTGATAGTTATTGCATTAGAGTTTGATGTAGTACACAACTTTTATTATACCCGCCTTAGATGACTGTTGCTTCTAATTTTTGTGCACAATATATGGATTTAAAACTTTAAATCAGGACTGATTGAATCTTCTTTCAAGCCCCTGAACTGATTTCTCCCACCATCATGAGAAAGTTTGGCTTTGAGGGTTAGTGATGTCTTTCTGAATCTCCCTCTGGAACGTTCAAAAGAAGCCAAGAGATCTCAGGCTGATGTTTAAATCCTGTTAATATAAGAATGAAGGCTTGTCTTCAACACCATCCAGCGGCCTGGTCCTATCTGCCCACTGACCTCCGCAGGAGTGGTTATCCTGCCGCTCACTGATCAAACACTTAAGCCATTAATGTGGATTTGAAGCTGCAGCGTGAGCTGGATTCCTGTCAGAACCAATGTATTCCTAGAGAACTCGTCGGCGACTCAGTGAACCCTTTTACCTCTTTTCTGTGGCCCCCTTTGTCTTAATGTTGGACTCACATGCAATTTCAGATTGAACACTGACACCCCTGGAGCAGGTCGCAAGTTTCCAGTTGCCTCAGAACTGTGAACTCATCATTCAGCAAGACTTTACCACAGAGAGAGGAGAGGGTCAGCTTCTGTTGCTTTGGATGGAATGCAAACAAACGGACTCCCCTAAGTATCGCTTTCAATTTTGAGCTGCACTGGCTGGTTGGCTATCACAGCACAGTGAACGTTGGAGTCATGGATCAGTCCTCTGTCACGCCGCTGCTGCCATTCTCCCTGCTGGAAGCCAAGTCTGAAATATTAGCCTTTTCACGTGATTCATAAGTTCCCTGTGGAAGTCAGGACTTTGGACTGACAGCCGTTTAATAAACCTAAAGGTTCAGTCACAATGTGAGGGGTGGGAGGGGGCTGGGGGGCTTTCCAAGTCTCCCGCTGTCGAGTAGTTGTAACGGAGCGATGTGGACTCTTGGTCTGGACGAAGATGTTCCTGTTGATGTTTCTCAGTAGCTCGATATTCGCTTTCAGTTCTAGATCGATCTCATGAAACCAAAAACACATTTGACCTTCTTTACGTGCCTTTGGACGTCTTATGGACCAACTGAAGGACTTTTGTGAAAACTGCTGAGTGTGCACATGAGTGCATTTCTTCCTAAATGTTTTCCTCTGTGTTTCATGTGGAGGCTGTACAAGCCTGCAATCTGCTCATGAGCCAAGTCTTCGATGCCAACTGTGTGAAGTCTTTTTTAGGAAGACTGAATAAGAAAAGTTCAGCTGCATGTTACAGTTGGTAAAACACCCTTAATGTTGATGTGTAATGGGCTAAATGGGTTTAAATTAGTCCTGAGATGATGGCCAAAAGCTTTACGACTACATTGCTGTTTTGTAATGAGGGACCAGAGCAACCAAAATGTTAGGTGTAGCAGTGCCCAGTTTCAAATATGTACACGAAATAGCAAAAACACAAGTCCTAACATTTCCTCTCACTCTATTTATATTCACGTCCGAAGTGGTGGGCAGACGATGGACTGAAAATAACCGAAGTTTCCTCATCAAGAGTCCTAGAATTGGGTTAAACCTTACAAAAACTGTAAAACATATATTTAATTTCTCTATTCCAAGTCTTTACTATATGTTTGGCTACTCTTTATGTCTTTTTAAAGGATACAGGCCACTGAGCGATATCTGGTTATTACTGACGTTAGTTTAAAATCACCAAATACCTGATAGTACTTGACAAATCGACTTTACAGTGTGCGCTTCTTTTATAGCCTGATGTCTTTCTCCTTTTTTACATGTTTGCATTTAGTCTCTTTTTTTGCTAATCCTGTCTGTAATTGTGGGGGCTGTGAGGTCACAGGTCACAATAATCAGAGGTCTTAACCTGTTCAAAGGCTTGTTGAGGTGCAACTCTCTGCTGTAATGGAGCTAATCAGTGTCTCGTGACCGATCATTAAAAGGCTTTTCAAACGCTAAAACAACCTGGTTGATTTCTGTACTTTCCAGAATGTCTCTCTCTCTCACACACACACACACACACACACACACACACACACACACACACACACACACACACACACACACACGATACATGTGTGTGTTTGCACTGCTAGCCTACCAGGAAACGTATCTCCTGTGTTTGATCTGCTCTGGATCGCTGTGCTCCTGCTGCCTGTATTTTAACGTCTTTTGTTTAAACGCAGTGTGTTCTTGTGACATCAGACATTGCTTCATGTGGGGCTGTATGAGCAAACTGTCCACGACCGCCGATACGTCCGCACAGAGCAAGCATCCAGAGCCAATCAGGCAGGTTAACAGTGTTTCTGTTACAAACAGGCACATCTGGTTTGTTTGCTTGTTTTCCATCTGAGAGACACCCGATCTTCTTTAGATCACAGGAAGCACTTTAAAGCATGTCTGTCCAATGTTTGTCACAACTTGAATTTTGCTCCCTGTAACAGACTTATGAAAAGCCCTGATGTACTTGTGTAAATGTGGCTGTCTGCGAATGTGTTTGAAGATGTCAGTGCCTTCCACGTGGCTTCACCGTGAGCATCACGGGCACCTGTGAATATTTAGATAATCAGCCAAAGTATTTAAAAAAGTCATGTATTTAAGTTATCTTTGTATGTTTATGTCTGTGTATCACCAAAGTTGTTCCACTGCTGCTTAAACATGGTAGGAAAAGAAGTCTGAACTGTAGTAAAGTCTTATTGTTACTGTTTTTATTGACTTTTGAAATAAAAGGTGTTCTGTGGAGTGAGTTACAGTATGATCTCTGTGTGTGTGCACTTCTCAAACATGTGAAGACATACGTGATGGTCACGTCAGGCTGTGAAAGTGCCTCTCCAAAATCCCAATTAGGTTAACGAAGTCCACAGCACATATCCACTTTGTGTCGTCGTCCACTCTCCGGATGTTGCAATGGCCTCGACTGGCTGTTCTGACTCATCTGCCCTAACTGAAGTCAATCATTATGGGGGGACAGTCCTTGAGAAATCAGGATATGATCTGATAGCAGCCTGAAGTCGTATGACTGCACAGAGTTAATGAGTCACAAACGGCGGAGGCTGGTCAACAGAACACCAGCTATTGGTTCATTGAGCTGAGTGGAGGACAGAAAACAGGCAATGAAAGCCTCAGAGCAGCACTTTGCACAAGCATCTCCGGTTTGCTCTCGGAGACAGCGTCCTGAGTTTAGCAATAATTCTTAAATGGAAAAAACGAGAGCGGCCCAGAGACTTGATGTGAGCATTAAAAGTCAAAGATCGGTCAAAAACCACCCAGAATTGGACACAACTGTCGTGCTTTGACTTCTGGCAGGTAATCGTACCTCAGAGAATGCTGCCACTGATTCTAGTCCCCTGTAATGGATGGATGATGGATGAAAGGAAGTAACCCTGATCATGTTTGAGGAAAAAGTAGAAAAAGTCTCTTTATTGTTATCAGTCTACAGAGGAGACTGTAGAAACCATGTTATCATGTTATGGTTATGTAGCATCAGATCAGATCTAGGGTTCATCCTGCTGGGAGGCTTCAGCAGCCCAGCACACTTCAGCTGGATAAAGGAAAGTGAATGGGTGGGTGGGTGGGTGGCCCTTTATCATGCTGACTGGCTGTAGTTCAGGAGGAGAGGAGGTCATCTACTGTTTGGAAGGCTGGTGGTTCAATTCCTGGCTGCTCCAGCCTGCATACTTGGGTAAGATAGTAACCCTGAGTTGCTCTCTGACAGACTCGTGAATGGTGCATGTTGTATAAAGATCTTTGAGTGCTCTGGCAGAGTAGAAAACCAGTCCATTTGTATGTGTTGTGAGCTCTTCATCTTAATGGTAATGTGCTAACGCTCAAGTTTCCCAAACTGAGGGGTCAACACTGGCGCATTTATAAGGCCGTTCAAATTAGAAATACATATTTCTTCTTCCACCATCTGACCCGGGCCTTTCTACGTGGAGGTGTGTCCTCCTGCATGCGCTCTTTCTGGGTACCGCAGCTTCCTTACAGTCCACAGACCTGCAGTCAGTGTGTACATTGGCCATAGGTGTGAATGGTTGTCTCTGGCTGCGTCCACACTGATACGCTTTCGTTTGAAAACACATCGTTTTCTCTGCGTCTTGGCCTCCCGTCCACACTGAGACGCCGTTTTTGCTCAAGGAAATCGCAGCGTTTTCAAAACGCTCTCCAAGCGGATACATTTGAAGACGCCGTTTTCGCGTCGCAGTGTGGATAGCGAACCCGGAGCCTTTCTAAAACGATGACGAACGTTAGTCATGTGATGCAGTCATGTGACCAATTAAACACAGATAGCAGAGGGCATTATACAGCAGCTGTTTTGTTTGACAGCCCTGTTAAAGATTAATATCAGTCTGTACGCGCTCCAGAGAGCTTTTCTGCAAATGCTTTTGCAACGTTGTACCTTTGTGTTACTCGCAGCAACAACTCCAGCTCATTGTTAGTTTCTACGTTTCCATTTAAAGAACTCGCTGCTTTTCCTCGACTTTCTGCCGCCACGTTTCAAAAGCCAGAAAGTAAATAAGCGGCAGACAGAAATGAGGCAGGCCGAATCTTCTTGCGCTTCACGCATGCGCAGGACTAGATGAAGCGTTTTCAGCCGTTTCAATGTGGACGTACAACTCAGTGAAAACGACTGAAAGCGCTGGTGTGGACGCGGCCTCTGTGTTGGCCCTGTAGAGTGCCTAACCTCTGGCCTTCCCGCGAGCCTGACTTTGATTGGCTGAAGAAAATGGATGGATGGATACTTCTTCTCCATGTTTATATTTCCTTCTGTTATCACTTTGCTTCAAAGTTTTATCACCATGTAAAAATCAAATAGCACAGAAGTGCACCAGCGTGAGTTATGTCACATCATTGCCTGCAGCTGATGTGTCAGCCAGCAGAAACTGTGTCACACACCAGAGACTACTCTCCCACCTTACCTACCATAAATTTGATCGGTTGACTTTCACAGAAAACTTGTGTCATTATTTTAGGAACAGCAGAAGACTTTACATGATCTGTGTAGTAAAAGTAAAGCACGTTGAATCCACACTGTAAAGAACCCGCAGTGTTGTTCAGGTCAAGTGACTGGAGATAGTTGACTTATTGCAGTGATTTTAAATAAGTGGAAACTCAGGAAGCCGGATCTGGTTCGTGTTACTTAATGGAAAAAGGCAAGACAATATTTTACACTTGGCAGAACGCAGGTGCCGTCACATTTTCCATCAGTGGAACGCAGCCCCACAGTCACAGAATATGAACACTGTGGGACTAGCAGCACAGAGTGAGAAGACACAGCAAATAATGGAAACATTTTTATTGAAGTGGAGATTATTTTATCTGCTTTTATCTGATCTGACAAAAGTCATCACAGTGCCCAAGAATCTTGTTTTGTCTGACCAACAACCCACCATGTCTACAATGTAACCATGTAAAATGTTCATGTTTAAGTAAACTGAATATTATTATTATTGTTACATCAAACTTGTCACATAATCAGATTTTCTGTTGTGTCCAGACACTGAGGTGACTTAGGAACGTCCTTGTCTTTGAAAAGCATGTTTGCACACCGATCAGAAAGGCTGGTCATACTGATCATACTGTAAATGAGTAATGAATCTGTCTCAGATCACTGGACATAATTAATATTTAATGGATTGCCTACATGAAATTACAGCGAGCCATTTTCAGCATTCATCACTCATGTGGCACATTGTGTGCACTATTGTCAGGTTACACCGTGTAAACTAATTTACAGGGGGAAAAGCCTTGTCTGAATGTTTTAGAAAAATGAACACAAAAAACAAACTAATGACTACATACAGATTCCACAGAGTTCCCTTCAGGATCAGCACAAGCCGGCTCTAAAGAAGTCACAGTGCCCATTCACAGTAAGACCGCTCATGGATCTCAAACTGGCAGCAGAGCACTCAAACCAGTCTCATCAACACTGAAGAGCTGAGCCCTGGAAACAGAAAGTGGCGTCTCAGTTTGGCCATAAATGAAGAGAAACCGGACAGAGGAGGACTGGAAAACAGTGCCATGGACAGACAAACACCAGTTTGAGGTTTTCGAGTCACGAGGAACAAATGAAAAGATGGTGTAGCAATCCTTGATGTAATCTGGCAAATATGTTTCCAGATGTTTGGGGTGTTTGGTGGTAAAAGTGGGATTTGGACAGATTCAAAGGGATCTCGACTGATGAAGGCTATCGCTTCATCTTCTCACTGGTGGTCTCTGCTTGTCTGGTGTTCAGCACAGTCACTCCGTCGAGGTGTTGTGGGAACAGTCTGTCAATACTGTATTCAAGAAAAGCCCATCAAGTCATTCTTACTCATTTCAGGTTGTCATGGAAGGATGGATGGAGATGTCTCCAGATTACATTGGCAGATTATGAAAGCAAAGTTTGATGAACATCATTTAAGTAAGTAATGTAATGTTTTACATCCATGGATGGATGGTGATTTTAGAGGAGTGGACAAATATGCTACTACAACATCTGTAGCCATCCATCCATCC